TTGGTCCTCATCTCGTACCAGAGAAAACTCACACTTCAGATACTCAGTCTTGCTTCGACTTAATGTGAATCCTCTGGATTCCAATGTGCTTCTCCACAATTCAAGTTTTCTATTAACACCCTCCTTGTTCTCATCAATAAGCACAATATCGTCTGCAAAAAGCATACACCATGGCACTTCCTCTTGAATATCTTTTGTTAGTTCATCCATAACTAAGGCAAAGAGGTAAGGACTTAGAGCCGACCCTTGGTGTACACCTACCGTGATAGGAAAATAACTTGATGATCTGTTACAAGCTTTTACACATGTAGTAGCCCCATCATACATATCCTTGATTGCCTTTACATACTTTAATGGAACCTTTTTCTTCTCCAGGACCCACCATAAAACTTTCCTTGGAACCCTATCGTATGCTTTCTCAAGGTCTATGAACACCATATGCAAGTCCTTTTTCTTTTCTCGGTATCTTTCCATTAGTTGTCGCATCAAGAAAATTGCTTCCATGGTACATCTTCCTGGCATAAATCCAAATTGATTTACAGAAACCTTGGTATCTCTCCTCAAGCGATGTTCAATAACCCTCTCCCACAACTTCATAGTATGGCTCATTAGCTTAATGCCTCTATAGTTTGAACAATTCTGTATATCTCCCTTGTTTTTGTAGATAGGCACAATCATACTTTTCCTCCATACATCAGGCATCTTATTCGTCTGGAGAATCTTATTAAAAAGATTGGTCAACCATTTTATTGCCACATCCCCCAGGCCTCTCCACACTTCAATAGGGACACCATCAGGCCCTAAGGCTTTATTAGTCTTCATTCTCTTTAAAGCCTCCTTAACTTCATGTGTATTAATTCTGCATACAAATCTTCTATTCATATCATCACACGCGTCCTCTAAGTCCACCTCGCTTGTATCTCCATCCCCATTATACAACTTGTTGAAGTATTTCAACCACCTTTCATTTACATCTTCATCTCTCATCAGAAGTTTTTGATTTTCATCCTTGATGCATCTAACTTGGGTGAGGTCTTTACTTTTCTTATCCCTTATCTTTGCAAGTTTATAAATACCTCTTTCACCATCCTTGCTCCCAAGATTTTTATACAACTCGTCGAAAACCTTGCCTCTAGCTTCTCGCACTGCTTTCTTTGCATTTTTTCTCGCCAATCAAAACTTTTGCAGGTTCTCTGCACTGGGACTTTTATGCAAAGATCTAAAGCACTCCTTCTTATGTTTAATTGCCTCTTGCACCTCTCCATTCCACCACCACGTATTGCAATGAATATGTGAAGATATTTCAGTCCTTTGAAGCTGATAGGTTATGTTATGTTATTGTTAAATTATGGACACTGTTGGGGTAATTTCTACGTAATTTTCTTTTTCATGGGCCTTATGGCCCCCCAAACTAAAAAGAAAAACAAAATATTATTTCCTTTTTACCCAACAATTTTCCATTGAATGAAATTTAAATAAAGAAAAAGAAAACTGGGAATACTTAAGATAAATCCGATTTTAGTTATTGAATTCAATAAAATTAGTATCAATAGGAAGAGATTGATGGCAACACGAGAAAGGATCGAGGAGCAACGAGGTAACAAAAAAAATCAATTAAGCATTTCAAATGATCAGTTTATTTTGTGATTTCCCCCTTTTCAAGCTATGAGTATTTCTCTTTGTTATAATCAAGCATTTCAAATGAGATTATATTTTTTTTCCTCAGTAATGTACTGCACAATGATAGTGATTATTGATTTTTTATTTAAACTATTTTTATTGATTGACTTGTCCTATAATCAGTAAATTTAAGTTGATATTTTAGTTACATGATGACTGATTCTTAATAGTCTTCGGTGTGAGTTGTGCAATAGTATTTAATGTATATATATATATATATATATATATATATATATATATATATATATTTTCGATAAATTAATGTGTTTGTAATTAATATAAGCTTGAATAGTTCATGCTCGGATAAAAAATTTATGTCATAATTTAAATAAGTCATGTTACTTACATGAATTATGTCTAGCTCAATTAGCAGGTCATCATGTATGCGTGCAATGTGAGGGGTATCCTAAGGTTAGGTCCCATGGCCACCCCCAATAATGGGACCCTCCAAGGCTCGAGGAGCCTAGTAATTAAAAAATAAAATAAAAAAATACTGTAAAACTCTATAGAATAATAGAAGAAAAAATTTATATTTACAAATTTTTTGTTTATAAATTCTTACAAACTACACTAAAGTATGACCGGTTATACTTAGTGTAATTTGTAAAAAAAATTTGTAAACGGATCCTTCCCTATAATAGAATTAGGCTTATTCCCGTTCAACTCAAATACATTTTTACATAATTAGTGGTGAATTCAAGATCATATAAATGATTTTTGAGTCGTATCGTTTAAATAATAATTCAATTTAATATTTATTTTAGTGAGTAATTTAAATTCTTAGTTTAATTCATAAAATTAAAATCTTTCTTTACTAAATTAATTTGTGTATACATTTAATGTTAGTTAATCCTATCACTCTTTTTAGATAGACACCATATATTTAATTAATAATGCATAGATCTTATGCCCTTACAAGTAAGAGTTATCTTTATTGCTAAAAAATTCTCTATCAAAGTGCAATAACATGTGCGGTGCTTCGATGTGGAATGTGAACACCACAAGGATAAAGGTATGAGATATTAAAACTGAATTGAACGGAACCGATCCAACTCAGATTTATTTAGGTTGGATTGGTTCGATAGTTGTCCAAATTTTTTTTTTCTTTTAAAACTGAATCGGTCCGAATTATTTTTAATTGATTTGTACTTATTTCTCAATAATTTGTCCCGACTCGTAGTAACTTCTATTTTATTGGTGTGAGATTTTTTTTTTTCAATAAGAATTGATATGATTTTCCACAAGTGACTCAAATTTTAGTTTTAGCTTTTTCCCCCCTAAAGAATGCAGTTTGTTTATTACAGTGCTCAAGGCCTAGTAAGTAACTTAGTGCATAATTAGAAATAACTTAATTTAGGATTGGTTAGTAGTAAAGGATCTGGATACTTAATTTATATTATAGGTTATGTGTTCAATTTTCAGCAGTGTATAATAAAAAAGAAAATTTAATTAAAAAATAATGATTTTTTAATAGGGTTCATCATACAAAAACATAATTTGGATCTTAGGAATTCATGACTTTCATATTCAATAGGATTAAGGGTAACATTTATCCTGATTGCGAAAAATTCTTTAATCTTCAAAAGCTCTTTGATAATTGATGTTTCTTTTCAGACTCTTTACTCTTTCTTTATTGTATCCTCTTGTGATAGGAATGAAATACACCTTGCGGGCAGACAATCAAGTTTTATGTTTTGAAAAGGTCTCTTATGAAACTTTTAATTGAAAGCATTTTTTGTCTTTTAACTAAGTTAATTTAAATACATATATATATAGTATTATTATTATTATTATATTATTAAAAAAAATACCCATTGCAGCAGGTTATAACTTTGATTGCAGCCCATTCGGCTTTCATAAATGCATATTGCTTATCCTGCCATCTCTTCAGCATGCCTATAATTTGAAACTTGACTTTTTTGGCAAAAAAAGAGATAGATTTTTTTTATTTTTTTATATTTTACAAGACCATAAGGATAGTAAAATTTTCCCTACCAAATTTTGAATACAGTTGCGTATTTAGGATAACTCGAACTCGAGAATACCCTACCAATTAATCAACGTGATTCGTAGTTGATATATATATGAACACGTTGAAAATTCCCTTGCCGACATATACACAGGGATGTACGAACACCGTCAAGAGAACCTTGATTTGTTGTATCCCCGATGAAAATGCATGGATGTGCCCTTAGCAAATGTAATCGATGACTTTCGCTATTGACATTAGTTTTATTTGACCAAACAAGGAGGAAAACTGGATTTTCCTATATGTTTATTAGTCACTTATATATATATCTAGAGTGGCACTTCAACAAGTACTTACGCACATACACATGTACGTATATATAATATGTGATAGTCATATAGACAGCAAATTAGGCCTAAAAGGATAGAGCTAGTACTTTTGCTACAAAACAATTCTCAATTAGTACATAGTACACACGTATATAATATGTTACTCAGAGAGATAACAAATGATTATGAGCCCATTTGTTTGGACTTTTAGAAAAAGTAATTTTTATTTTTTTTATTTTAAAAGTGTTTTTTACAAAAGTTAAAATTATTTATATTTTTATAAAAATATTTAGTTTTTGATTTTTGTTTTTTTAGAAGCTAGAATTTTTAGCTTATAAAAAAGCAAGTTTTTAACTTTTTTGTGACTTTTGTTTCTTTTTAAAAGCAGGCATTCAAACGAATTTAAAGTGAGAAAAACATTTTTTTTTTTAAATAGTAATTTTTGAAGAAAAAAAAGTTCATCCAAATAGGTTCTTAGTGTCATTTTAATAGGTTATAACTATGTATTATAAGTAGTACGTAATTATAATATTAAAGTTATAATTTTTTTATTTTTCATATTAACAAATAACTTCTGAGAATAGAAAAAAAAATATAATTTTAATATTATAATTATATACTATATAATTATAACTGCTGCTAAAATACTTGTGTGATGTGTCTACGAAAATTTTTCCCGACAACAAATTAGGCCTTAAAGTTAAATGATAGACTACTTTGGCTACCAAGTAATCAAGTCCCGCGTTTAAGATTAGGGAAGAAGCCAACGCGTCAAGGTTGCATTAATGATATGTCGCTTCAACAACACGGAATGAATATGGCTCCACATCAAGAGAGAGAAACTTCTTGTGTGTTTCCACTTGCCAATTCCATTCAATTGACTTCTCTTTATAAAATCCACATACTTCTACCATCAATAGTACTGAAAGTTCCAAATTAGAAAGCAAGTTTATTTCTATAACTCACTAAACTACAGTACTGTCATTGTCTATCAAGAACACTGAAGAACGAGATATTTAGTCATGGAGGTTCATAGGAAGATGCTCAAGTCGTTGATAACAAAGGTGCTAAAGGGTCTTCCATTCTTGGCACACAGTGGATCAGCATATCCGAGAAGAGCTTACATGAGAGACATTGATGATGAGAATGAAACAGAAATAGGAGTTCCAGAAGATGTTAGAGAAGGGCATTTTGCGGTTATAGCAATCAAGGGTGAAGAAGCCAAGAGGTTCATTGTTGAGTTAGATTATTTAAATGATCCAGGTTTCTTGAGACTGTTGGAGCAGGCTAGGGAAGAGTATGGATTTGGACAGAAGGGTGCTCTTGCAGTTCCTTGCAGGCCACAAGAACTTGAGAAGATTATTGAGAATCGACAAGTGGAAAGTGCCATCATTAATCCAATTTAATTTTGCATATTTGCGCATAAGACAGACATCTGATGTAGGATAGTTCTACCTATTGCCAATATTTTTTGTTTTGCTTGAACATATATAATGTATTATTCATTATTGTGACAACTTTCTTCAAGAAATATATGACAGAACGAAAGGAATACAAAATTGGTCTTTATGGTCCGTAACAATTAACATATTGCTAGATATGGACGGACATATTAGTTTTGAGATGCATTGATAAATTAAGTTGTTCTATATATTGTGGAAAATGAGTCAATATGAAAATGTTAAAGCGCATTCCATGCATGTGCGTGCATTTACTACAATGAAAATGATGGAAGTAGCTAGTGTTCCTACTTCCTATCTACTATATATGTGGTCCTCATTCTGACCAAGGTCATTCGAAATACATAATATGAAGGAAAGATAGCCAATGATTTATTTTTTTGGTACACATTATAGCCAATGATTTAATATTAGTGCTTTAATGGTTTTTATTATAATATTGTAAGTGAATCATGGAAGTGCTTTCAATTGCTTGTATATATTTTTCCTTAGTACATGGTTTCTTTGGACGCTTGAGATTATATATGTAGGAGCAATTGCATCATCTGGAAGCGTTAAGACCATTGTGGTATGGATGTAAATGATCATCATGGTTTTATCATTTACCTCTTTGATGGCGTAGATCTCTGAGATGCTCCACACTCCTTGTTCCTTTGCGTGACAATGCGAACTCACGAACTGCTGCGTCACAGCACGAACAGGTGTTCTGGCAAACCTTCCAAACTATCTCTCGGGGAGGAAGGAGAAGCGTGTGGGCACTAATCAGAGCATATATTTCATCAGACTTGGATTAGGGTTGGATTCATTATTTCATCAGACCATTATACAATATGCACTTAAGTCATTTTCGAAAGTAAAATGCTCAAACTAAATAACATATATTTCATCAGATACAATAAACAAATCCATACTATGTAAATTAAAATAACTACATGAATCCAACAAATAAATCATGATGCTTGTAGTAAGTATAACTCTCCCAAAAATCTTTTAATATATTTATATATACAATCTAATATGTTGAGATGTTGGTTCCTTCTATATAAGAAATAAAATAAGATTTCTATTAACATATAATCGAATATAATTAAGTTATAAATAATTTCGGGACGGGTCCAGGATTAAAGCTTTAAACCCCTCCCAAAGGTGGTACTGGGGAGATTCGAACACATGCTCTCACCCCACCTGCTTAGCTCCCATGCGCCAACTGAGCTACCACCATTTGGTATCAATATTGATAATTAATTTATGATTTATTTTAAAAAATTATTTGCTGAAGATAAATTTTTTTTATTTTGGAAATTTATGACTTATAGAATTTTTTTTAATAATTTAAAAAATAAATTAGATTATAAATAGATTAAAAAATATATAAAACTTTTGTTATTAAGGGTGTTTTTGTTTATCTATATTATATCATGACATTATCTGATTCATATTGAATACACAACATGATAACATATTATCTTATCTTACTTTACTTATCTGATGTTCAACACACTCAATATGAGATATGAGCTTATCATGCTTATGTTATTTTTGTAGTCTGATCCAACTTTTATTTGTTTGTATTATATCATGTACATGAAACTGAGTCCTTGAAATTGATAATACTCTACTTATGACCAAAAGAAAAAAAGAGTATAGCTCACATTATATAACTGGCTAATATATTTATGCATGTTTCAAGGATAAATATGTTCTTGATATAACGATGGGAATATAGTTTATGATGTTCTCATGCACATATAAAAAGATGAGTGAAATCTATTCACTTTTTTGTATGTACTTGAAATAATTTTATTTTATATAACATATATTACTTATAATGATAACTTATCTGCATTAACTGCAAAAATATTTTTCTGTATAATGATATATTGAACCATATCTAAGAATATAAATAACGTCGTTTTGGAAGTAAATGCAGATAATTTATCATGGTATTTTTGTAATTTTAAATTATTTTAGGATTATTATAGTCTTTATAATTATAATTTTTTAATCTTTCAATCTCAAAATGACGTCGTTTTGGAAGTAAATGCAGATAATTTATCTGCATTAACTGTAGAAATATTTTTCGGTATAATGATATATTGAACCATATCTAAGAATATAAGTAACGTTGGATTAAATTTCTTCTTGGCTTCTATACAAAAAAAAAATTTCTTCTTGGCACTACGCGTGATGTGTGGGAAAACATCCGGTGAAAAAGAAGTGTTGGAAAACATAGCGGACCCATTCTGACATCTATGCTCAATAGCTCTATTAAATTACGTATCTAATCACATGATATGGCCCCAATTCAAACGTTTTATAGACTTCATGATGGATATCGCGGATTAGAAATGATTTTTTTGAACACATCATATTTGATGTATAGAAATTTAAAGATAGGCGTAAGTGTGTGTATATATAATGCTGCAGAAAGGATGATAAAATATTGACATTGACAACATGCTGATTATATATTATTGACAGTTAGGTTCCTTTCATGCCAATTGCTGTATCACATGTAACGGTTTCCTCTTACACGCGTAAACCACCATATATATTGGAGTTTTTATTTCATCTCATGTCTCTCATACTTAATTTAAGCACTATATACCTGTACAATTGTGACAAATGTCATTTGCTAATTGTATGCAATTGCCATTTGCTCGTACATGTGAAACTTCATAGAATTTTCCAAATTGGAAATGTTACGAGTTAAAGAAAATTATGACAAATTTTGAAGAAATTATGGGCTAGATAGAAATTATGTAACCATCATTCAATTTCGGTGCTTTAAGTCTAAATTATAGCAAGGAGATTTTGAAAGAAGAGATACTCAACAAAATTATGGTTGAACCAATATTATGAAGATGCGACTTATCATTGACTTGGTTTGGGTAAGTAGATAAGTGATTCATTGGTCCAATTGGAAGTATCACTAGTTGAAAAGCTTCATTTAAATAACATGTAAAAGTATGTGTGTGTCTATATATATATATATATATATATATATATATATATATATATATATATATATATATATATATATATATATATATATATATATATATATATTGTGACACACAAATAATGTTACGCACAATGTTACGACCACATCTTAACCGTTGATTTCCGCCAATCAACGATTATCATTTATTGTGAATTAATAATTAATTAATGAGTTTGATTTGAAAAATGATAATCGTGGATTAACGGAAATCAACGGTTAAGATGTGGTCGTAACATTGTGCGTAACATTATTTGTGTGTCACAATATTCTATCCCTATATATATATATATATATATATATATATATATATATATATATATATACGAGGTATGATCCTTTGATAAAAAAATCAACGACTCTGATTTGTAAGCATATGACACCATTGATCTTTTTTGATCTAATGACTATCAGATGAGATGTCAAATTTCAAATTTGACATTGGTGTCAAAAGATCCTATATATATATATATATTAATAATAATACAATATCAGAAGAAATTCAATGACATAGTGGTTGTTGTCGTGAAATGTTATATTCTTAGTCAGTTTGTTTAACCGACATAGAATTGTTATATTTAATGATCGACATGAAATGACATATTCTGAAGCAGTTACAAACCGTCGCAAATACTCTTAATTAATAAAAGAAGATAGAAATAGAGGTGTAAATGAGCTGGGCTGGGCTAGGCTTTGGCTTAAATAGGCCAAGCTTGTGTAAAAACAATTTGGTATGGCCTGGCCTATTGGCCTGTGTAGGCTCCAAATTACAAGTCTGGCTTGATCTATATTCAAAAAATAAAAGCCTTGTCTTATGCCTATTAGCCTGTTTAAGCCTATTAAATATTCAACAATTAAATGAATAACTAAAATAATATTATTTTATTATTCAAAATTATTAAATAATAATTTTATTTATTATATTTTAAATAAATAATATGATATAGGCCGGCCTGTAGGCTTATAGCCCGACATGAACAAAAAAAAGCTTATGGCCTATTTTTTAAATAGATTTTTTTAAAAGTCTAGGCCTATTTTATTTTACTACTTATAATAAGTCAAACCTGACTTAATATAGGCTAGGCCGTAGACTCCTTGATATAAATATGACATCATGATGTTTGCATATTTCTTGGATAACACAGATCTCAGACAGAAATTTATCAATAACAAGACGCCCATATACACTAGTAAACACTGTGTTTCTAAATATTATATAACTATACGTATAATTAAGATTTATTAAACATACAGAACGGATTTAAATCTGTTGGTCTATAGTATCACATGGTCAAAAAAATTTAGTATGTGTAAGACTTATTTTCTTGAATCTCGAGTACGAAAAATAAAACGATATTTAAAATGCTTCAATCGCATGCAGCATTATAAAACAGCAGAGAAAACATGAGTAAGTTATTGCAAAATTATGGTAAATTTTGCCGACACAAAGGTACGATAAGAAATGCACGGAAGACCCCTCACAAAATCCGGGGGTGTTTGAAAATATCCACAGGATGAAGTGAAAACAACTTTGGAGAAATATCAAGGTCAACCTAACAATAGGCATCATGAATAAATCCCAAATAGTTTAATTATATGAGACAAAAATATCCTACAAATGGTCAGAAAATAAAGTTCTTTTGCTTCCAATGTAAAATAAAATAAAATGCATGATATTTTACTAAAGATGATCCTTAATCGAACACCAATGATCAAATTTCAATTTAAATGAAAAGAGAAAAAAATGGAAATTGAATGTTATTATTGGTATAAATATAGATAGAAAAAGTGAACAAATTATAGTTAGGAATAAGAAGTACTTGCTCCGTACCAAGTCCCGGAAAAGGGTACACATCTACACCACTCAAAATGTTGCATTAAATGAAATGTTTCTACTCCAACAGGCAGAGATGCCTCCACACTACCTCTCAATAAATTTGATGTA